AAATCATTCCACCAAAATGATTTCTGAACTCTTCCTGAGCTAAAACAGTATTATTGTTTCTAATATTAAGTTGTTTACTTGCATTTTTTTGAGGTTTGACAGCACTGCATCTTTATCAGTTTGGCCATTTCTCATTTTCTGAAAGTAAATAGTACTTTTTTGCTTTGGATTTCTGACATGCTGTAAGTTCATAGAATAAAAGGAAAATGTTAATTTCACTCCAACATATACCTATAGAGTAAAATCAGATAAAATTATAATTTTTGCGGTAGTCTCTTAATTTTTTTCCTGTGTGTGTGTGTGTGTGTGTGTGTGTGTGTACTTGTTTTTGTTACCTATTTAGGACCGTTTATGGTATACACACCTACCTTGTCAAGACCAGTAGTCCTAATGGGGACCAAAGGCCGGTCCTAATATGGTGGAACTCCATTTTTGTGTTGGGGGTTGTGTTTAGGACCAAGGTGTGAATTGAGTTTAGGTTAGTTTTAGGGTCAGGTGACCTGTGAGGTTAGCCTTAGGGTTTGTGGTCAGGGTTAGGCTGTAGGAATGTAATGGAAGTCAATGGACTGGTTTGACCCTTGTCTGTAGACAGGTGTAGCTGCCTTGTGCAGGATGATGATGATGATGATGTGCTTTGTCTGCTCAGCTGGCTCTCGGGGCCATGAGCAGATCAACGTGACAGGCTGCATGGCCACATGACAACAGGCAGGACTCCACACACAGGTGCACGTGGACCTTCCACCGTGACCGCACCTTATGGYCTGCGCATTGTTATCAGTATTTGGGTGAATATTAAATTAGACCGAAAGTTAGCTAACAAAAATTCCCAACTACATGCACTCTGCATTGTTTCTAAAACCTACATCTGTAATATTTAAATGTTGTTTTTAGCCCTGAAAACACGGTGTGTTTGTGTAGTTTTGCGTTGCTTTCATGTTGTTGTTTCCACTCGCACCAAGTCCAGCTGAAGTCCCGTCCAGTTTCGTCGCCGTCAGGCTTGTTTCCTTGCGCTTTCAGCATGGTGGTACAYGGGATCCGCAGCGGCCCGCCCTCCCTCTGACGTCAGCCGCGCTTCGACCAATCAGGTGCAGGTATGCGGAACGCGGCCCGTCCTCCCCCGCCGTGGACACAGCGCTGTTAAACACGTGAGCCTCATGTGACAGAGGTAGGTCAGGCTGAGAGGAGAGTCAGAGGGTTTATTTAACTCGTCGCTTCGAACTCCACCACTTTCCCCCAAAAGCGTCGTTGAGGGAGGCACGGCTTCCTTCTGCGGAGCTACTCCCATGGAATAACTTTAAAAATAAAATACAATACAGCGTTTATAACAAGAACTTTTAAAATGGCGAAACTGTAAAGATTTTTMGACTATTTTTTGGGACATTTCTTTGCAGTTACAAATAAGAAAGGCGGTTAATTTATTTATAAACAAATGCGCGTCTACTTCTGACCTAACTTTTGACCGGAGCTGCGTTATTATTATTATTATTTATTTATTTATATTTTATTTTTGACCGGAGGACAACAACAAATGGAGCGAATTCCGAGCGCGCAGCCACCTCCTCTGTCCAAACACCAGACTGATCTGTCAGACGTGCAGGGGTGAGTTACTCTCAGAGAAAYACTTCTCTAAAAACAAAACGGTTCTGTGTTTCTAAATGCTTGTTTGTCTCGTTAGGATGGATTTCCAGATGTATGTGTATAAACCCAGGCGAGGAATGAAGAGAGGAGAAGAGAGCAAAGTAAGACTTTATTTATTATTATTATTATATATTTTTTATTATCATGTTGCAAACTTGTTAATATGTTTAAACCTCGGGGCTTAATGCTCGTAATCCATGAGGCAGGAATTAAAGCGGGCAGAAGTTCCCATAAATGGTTGACCCAGTTTCTGCTATGACATAACTTCTGGATCTTTTCCACCCCCTGCATGATGGGTGTAACTCTGTCTCAGATTATTGGGAATGTGGTTTTTTTTTAACGCAACGTGTCCGTTCTGTCCCCCGCAGGACACCTACAAGCTGCCTCACAGGCTGATTGAGAAGAAAAGACGCGATCGGATCAACGAGTGCATCGCTCAGCTGAAAGATTTATTACCCGAACACCTGAAACTCACTGTAAGTTTCTAATGGAGTTTAAAGCGGGGAGGGAGAATGGTGGGATTTAACCGGGCGCCCTCTAGCGGCCGCACTTATGTATTACACCTGTGCGTCAGCAGCTCAAGCTAAAAATTATTGTAATGTCTAGGTGATTTTTAAAACTTTCAGAGCTGCAACCTTGCTCTTAACAGTTATATAATTTTAAAAAGACATTTATGTTTCTTAATATTTGCCAATGTGTGGTAACAGATAAAGGCCTTGTGCCCAGCATAAAGTGCAGCTTAGTCTCTCTTGTGTGTTGGATAAGCAGTCAGGATGTGCTGACTGTGCGTGTTTCCCTCAGACTCTGGGCCATCTGGAGAAGGCTGTGGTTTTAGAGCTCACGCTCAAACATGTGAAAGCCCTCACGTCTCTCCTGGAGCAGCAGCAGCAGAAGATCCTGGCTCTGCAGAGCGGCATGCATATCGGTGAGCCACTGACCCTTACCACATGCATAACATTAATTAATCAAAGTAGTTCACAACTACAAGTGTACTTTGGTCGTTGTTGGAAAGTGCATGTCTTTGGAATGCTAAAGTTCTGACGTGTGGTATTTTTGTCTTTTGTTTTACAGAGCAGCCACCTGTTAGCCAGGAGAAGTCCGAAGAGATGTTTCGCTCTGGCTTCCACCTGTGCGCCAAGGAGGTTCTTCAGTATCTCGCCAGTCACGAGTCCGACGAGGACATAACTCCATCTCATGTRGTCAACCACCTTCAAAAAGTAGCTGCTGAAGTTCTGAGTCTGCCCCGACCCCGCACCCCCGTCAGCCCTCGACCCGAGGAGACCCCGGCCTACCAGCAGCACCAACCTCACGAGGAGACGTCGGCGAGCTTACCCCCGAAGCCCACGGAGGGCTATGGGAGGAACTGCGTGCCCGTCATCCAGCGAGCGTACGCGCCGCTGAGCGGCGAGCAGAGCGGCAGCGATACGGACACAGACAGTGGCTACGGGGGAGAGCTGGAGAAAGGCGAAGTGGGCGCTCTGCAGGGCCGTGCAGATTATTACGGTCAGGAGAGCCAGCTGAAGCGACCACAGAGCTCCGGCATCAAGCGGGAGGACGACGGCCCTCGCCACAAACGGCCCCGCGTCGAGTCCTCCGAGGACGAGCTGCTGTCGGGCGGAGAGTCGTCGATCTCGTCCTCCTCCAGCGGCTACGGTAGCTACATGAGCGTTTCCCCCACCCACCCTCCTCCTCCACCCCCACCACACCCACTCTGCATGCCCTTCTACCTCATTCCACCCTCCGCTGCAGCCTACCTGCCGATGCTGGAGAAGTGCTGGTATCCTGGAGGCGTGCCCATGCTGTACCCCGGCGTGGGAGGCTCCTCACCCTCCATGTCCGGTGAGAGACCGCCCCCACCTCAGCTGGTGCTGTCCCCCCGAGGAGGTTCACCGGCCCCAGCCGTWTCTCAGACCCCCATGGACTCTCCCGCCCTCCTTCAGGCACTGAGGCAGGTACCACCTCTCAACCTGGAAACCAAAGAGTAAAATGATGAAGGAACAAATGAAGGGACTGTGTTCTCTTTAGTAGCCAGAGACAAAGCCAGCGATGGGATGGAGAACACGAGAAAGCTGTTCACAATCATCCACCTCTTCTCTTCATGACTTGTAGACATGATCACGCAGAGAACGGTTCGGAGCTGCATCTAAACCCCCCCCCCACAGGGAGGAGTGCAAGACGCTCCGGGTGAATGTTTTAAAACTCAGTGGTGTTCCTCTTTACTGATGTATCATAAACAACACTGCCCTTTGTGCACACACACAAATATATGTTGATTGAATGTAAAGAAAGAAATGTTTTAGATGCTGCTGTGGAGGTGTAAACCACGCATCCTGCGTGTAGACGTTGCGATAAAGACTCACCTCGTTGTACTCTAGAAACCTTTGCACCAAAYTAGCCGTAATTAGTCACCCAAGTTTGTTGCCTATGTCCTTCGCTCACCATTCTGATAACTGGAACACGCCCTTTGAGCCAGACATCACCATGACTGGCACCAGAAAACTCAAGGATGTTCTGAAAGTGTATACAGACGGGTTTTAGCAAACAACCTCGGTGGATGAAGGGATAGGCCACCACATGGCCAAAGCGAGTGTCTTGTATTTTATTTTTTGACAGCCAGTTGAGATAAATTTCTATAATTAATGTCCATAAACTTATTGTACATTTCTATTTTTGATACCTGTTCTTGCACTCTGCCCACCCAGACAGGAAGTGAAGAGGGAGAGTAAAGTGTGCGGACGATGTCGTGTACATTCTGTAGCACTATGCTGGACCTACTCGACGTGTTTCTGCTCAAGTCAAACCCGGTGTTTGTTCTTGCTGTTGCCTTTTTACTTGTGAAAAAAAAAGGCAGATAAACTGCAGATGTGTTTTTTTTCTCCTGTAATGTATGAATACTGGAGTTGGAGAAGTAAAGAGGGGAGATGTGAATGTAAGTTTTACCAGAAAACTAGTTTTCTATAGAGAGTGGTACTTAAGGTTTTATATTTTGGGACCTAAAGAGAGATGTCTGATGTACATATTTTGTCTATAAATGTTGATATATATCATATAAGTGTATTAATAAAGTTATTTTTCCCATGGAGGTTTGTCTGATTGTTTTTGAAAAAGAATGAAAACATTTAAACACGAGTTAAAAGCTGATCACACAAACCAACATTTATGATCTGTCTGTGGTGACATTTAYGCACTTTATGCACCCTAGTAATGCAACAAAACATGCACCTTTCCTGTTTAGCTAGCTGGATATTCATACACAGTAATAGTTTGATTCTTAAATTAATCCCAAAGCAGTTCTAACCTCAGTTTTTCGCTCTGCTGTCATTTTAGGAGATGGACAAGGATTGATTGGTTTTTATCTGAAATATTATCTCAAATGTCAACCTGGAATGTCATCAGTCCATTTCAAATTGGTTTTCCTAAAGATGATTTCCATTTCTTTTCTTTAAGGACTTGTTTTTACCTATTACCTTAATAAAATATAGTAATTTCAAATTACAGGGAGAAAAACTTATGTCAGTCGAGTGTCCAAATCCTGGTCCTGGAGTGCCACCATCTTGTAGTTTTTACTTGTTTCCCTACTTTGACACACCTGATTCATGGATTTAATTACCTCTTCAATTTCTGCAGTAGCCTTTTAATTATCCATTTATTTGAATCAGGTGTTTCGGAGCAAAGAAACACTAATACAACTGTATTTATAGAGCAGTGTTTTTCAACCCTGGTCCTCAAGGAACACTAGCTGATTTCAATTGATAACTGATTAGCAGTCTTTTGTTGAACTGCAATCATCTGAATCAGGTGTGTCAAACTTGCAGGGCAGTGTGCCTTGAGGGCCAGGGTTGAGAAACACTGTTGAGTACTATTCAAATCCATTCCCTGGTCAATGTTGGTCAAAGTGCTGTACACTGAAAAAAGAAAGTAAAACATAAAACTTCAAAAAGTTCCAAAACAAGCATAACAATAATAAAATCAATCAAACATTCATACACATGCAGGACGGCAGTCCTTGATGAACACCAGATTGTGTCTGGTTTGTTTTTTAATGAGCATAACACATCACTACTTTAGTACTTCCTGTCTGCAAATAATTGTTTTTTGATATATTGATTTAAATGCTTACATGTTCCATCAATACATCATAAAGCTGACATTTATGCAGGAGCTACAAACATAAAGCAACGCAGCTGCTGTTTGATCAAAGCATGGTATTTGTCTCCACCTGCTGATAATCTGGAACAATTACAACTAAATCATCCAACCAACTATAAAAGATGTACACAACGCGCTTTGTCAGGCTCTGTCTTAACAAAACACACACACACACACACACACACACACACACACACACACACACACACACACACAC